TATATATATATATATATATATATATATAATTAATGTTAATGCCCCTTACATGGGGAAATTATAATGCACTAAGTTTAAGTGGTTAAAAATTTTAATTAGCTTATAACAATTTCACGGTGTACTGTCACCGTTTTAGCTTAAACATACTGAATAAATAATTTATATTCAATAAGCGGATAGACTGGATATACTCAATTTGCTGGTGAGCTAATAAATAGGTTAATATAACATATTCGTTGGTGTTACCGTCAGTTTGGTTTAGCTATATCGAATCAACGATTCGAGCTTAATAAATTAATGTGATAGTTATCGGATGGGATTGTGACATCAATTTATTTTTTAATTTTAAATTATTTATAATGATTTACGGGTACAGTTATAAATATGTTTGAATTATGCATTGAGGATCAAAGTCATATTTTAAATATAAAATTATATTATATAATTTTCTTTTAAATCACATTTGGTTTGTATAAAAATATTCAAATATTGATGTTAACATATTTTTAAATTATTAAAATATTTTAAGATATTATTTAAAATAATAAAATTATGACAGTATATCAGAAACTCTAACTCTCATTTCATCTATTCTATTAATATTTATCATCATCTCTTCCCTCACAAGTTATTTATTTATTTTATTTTTAAATGATTATATTAATTATTTATTACATATATATTTGTGTCATATATTTTTTTATAAAATTACATAAAATTTTTACTTATTAATTAAAATAATATATATATATATATTAAATAAATATTAAAAATATAAAAAGTATAATATTTAACAGACTTTTGAAATATAATTTTACCGAGCAATACTTACACCAATACATATTTAACATATTGTTTCAATCTATTATTTACTAAACATTCAAATCATTCCATAATTACACATTCATTAAAACTTAATTTCTTCATATGCATATGCATATGTGTTCCCAAACATAACATATATCATTCAAGAATTTATTATAAATAAATAAATAATTTTGATATATCACATAAATCATATCAACCTTAATATTTACCATACCGAGATATTCTTTTATTATTTTTATACGATTTTTGTTTTTTTGTTTCACAACCTAATCCAGCATATCACTTGGATCATGATGATCATAAGATCATTGCCCATTGCACATAGAAAATTATTAGTGGTAGAGCTTACAAGATCTATTTCGATCTTATTCTTAGAGATAAATATTACATGATAGATATAATAATGTTGAAGATATTACCACACATAATTACGATAATCGAAGATGATAAAACACTTTTCATTATTTGGATTGGCTTCGATTATGTCCATGGAATCCTTCATTTTTCCAAGAACACTATGATAGATTTAGCCTATATCCATATACATTTTTTTTTTTACAGATATACATTGATATTAATTATTAGAAGAATAATAAATAGGCGGTCTTTTTTTTTTGTTCTACTTTCCATCTAAAACATTTTCTATCGTGGGATAGTGATATCAAATGTGTGGATAACATTGACTCTCAAATTTTGATGATGAAATTAATTAATGAGTTTATGATCTAATGTGTTATTTGAGAAAAGTGATGCAAGAGTAACTTCGATATGAAAAAGTAAAATGATTGAAGCAAGAAAAATCAGACATTGGGCCAAAGTCTGAAAATGGGCATCGAGCCGAAAGAATCATATGTTGCGTTAAAATCGAAAGTTGCAAGTGCCAACTTGCCGATGGATCGAGCGATATGCCGAAGGTTCGAACGATGCACAGGAAGTTTGCTAGGAGTTCGGATGAATAAATGAAAAGTAAGACAACTTAGATTTACTGTCTTATAATTATTTGTCCTTATTGTCGAAGTTAAGTATTAATTTGAGTTAAGTTTGGGTGTAACTCTACTAACTCAATTAGGGGTTAATTGGGCTAGAGTTGGATTGTTTTAGGCCAAGTGGAAGACCCATTCAATGACCCTTAGCTAGCCCAAGCGGTGGCACCGCGAATGGCACCGCTTGAGGCTCGACCTTTCAAGCTGTTGTTGAATCTCAGATTTTGATGATGAAATCAATTGTTGAGTTTACGATTTAATCTGTGTTTTGAGTGATGCAGGACTAACTTTGATCAGAAAAGGCAAATCGATTAAAGCAAGAGGAATCGGATATTGGGCCAGAGTGAAATATGTCAGAAGATTAGACGTTGGGCCAGAGGAACGATCGACGTATCGACAAAAGGCTTCGTGCCGTGAGTTCGGGCATCGGGCCGAAGGATCGGAAGTTGTGGGAAGGAGATTGGAAGTTGTGGGAGTCAACATGCCAATCGGGTAATACGCCAAAGGAGAGGACGATGCGCCGAAGGATCGGACGAAGTCCCGGATGAACCAATGATATGTCGGACAATATAGGATTCATACTTGTAATTATATGTCTAAATCAAGTTAGTTTAGGACTAATTGAGTCAGTTTTGGGATGAAACAATACCATCTCAATTAGGGGCCAATTGGGCCTGAATCAAGGTTGAATTGAGCTTGTTGTTTGGCCTATTCAGTGACTTATAGCAGGGTCTAGTAGTGGTACCACCCAGACAGTCTCCCAGACTGTGTCAGGTAGTGGTACCACCTAGTGTCAATGCTGTAGGCGGTAGTACCGTCCAGCACAAGCGGTGGTATCGCCACGACTTGAGAAACCCGGGATGAGACCTTTTCTAGCTCAATTTTTGAAGTTATTTGGGGTCTATGAATACCCCAGATATTTTTGCTTAGCTAAGCATGAAATCGAGTTGAAATGGGGAAAGAATACTTGAGAAAAATTAAAAACTCTCTTAGGATTGAGAGTTTCTTTTTCCTAAAGTTAGAAGTTTTCTAAAGGAAAAGTGGTGTCTAAAAGAGAGGTATAAAGGCTTTCTTCTAAGCCTGTAAAAAGGAGAAAGAGTTATAATGGTAGTTAATCTTCACCCATTGAATTGTAAGGGTAGTTGATCTTTACCCATTGAAAGTGCTAGTCATAGATGCCCTGCAAGCCAATCACGTGAGTGATGGCTCATGTGACATGATATACATTCTTTTTGCTCATTATATTATTTGGTATTTTATCACTTTATATTGTTTGTTGCATATATGCGTATATATATTGTGATGTCCATAAATCTGTGCAATGAGAATCGGATCGTGATGAGATCACGATAATGAGACTGATTAATCTTTAAACACAAAACCTAAATAATCCCGATTATAGGTTACTTGAGAGGGAAATTGAGATAACCAGACAGATTGGTATACTATATACTCATACATATGATGGTCTCATAGCTGCTGCTAGTCATAGGTGCCTTACAAGCCAATTACGTGAGTGATGACATGCGTTACTTGACACATAATCTTTTTGTTTATTATTATTATTTGGTATTTTATCACTTTATATTACCTATTGTATGAATATATTGTGATGTCTATGGATCTATGCAATGGGAATCGGATCGTGATTAGATCACGATAATGAGACCGATTCGCCTTTAAACATAGATCCTAAATAATCCCAATCATAAGTTACTCCAAAAGGACATCGAGATAATCGGACAGACTAGTGTGCTGTATACCCATCTATATGATGGATGTAAATAGTCTCATAGCTGCTCGCATGGGGACACTAGAGATATAATGCAAGTGCTCATTGGAGAATAAGTTCACTGATTGATCTGCTCACGGAATGTTGGATGGTTGATGATGTCTTATTATCAGATAGCGATTCCATCGTCCCATTGGTGTATCTAATGTTGAATCTCAGATTTTGATGATGAAATCAATTAGTAAATTATTTGACCCAATCTGTATGTTGAGAAAAGTGTGCAGGATTAACTACGATGGCAATCAAGGCATAAAGCAAAATGAAGTGCCGGAGTCAAGATCGAGATTTCGATGGGAGTCTGAGAGTTCGCTGGGAGTCTAGAGGTTTATCAGAAATGTTATCGGAATTGACTAAGAAGAAGCTCTTCGGAACTCGCCAAGAAGATTATCGTGAAGTCAAAGAGCTTGTTGGGAGTCCGTTGGAACATTGCTGAGAGATTGTCGAAAGTCCACCGAAAGTTCACTGGAAGCTTGTCGGAAGAAACCTAGACTTACTGGACTTGTTTTGTTTAGCGTATACGTTAAAAATCATAGTTAGCATATAATTAGGGTTAGGTTTGAGAGATAATCTCATTAACCTTGTTAAGGGCCAACTAGACCTGTAACTGGACTGGTTTGGGCCAGATTCAAGGTCCAACTAGGTTGTTGGACCCTGTTTAGTAGTGGCATCACCAGACTGGGGCGGTGGAACCACCTAGGGAATGGTCTCCTAGGTGGTTTGGGTGGTGGTACCGCCCAGACTGAGCGATGGTACCACTCTATCAGGTGGTAGTACTGCCAG